TTAAAAGCGGTCGTGTGCTGAAAATGAGAGCATCAAGCGCTAACTATCACATGTTGTGAATTGTCACACACACCGTATGAGAAAATGCAATCCTATTGGTCCATTTAATGAATTTTGACAGGCGTCACTATGACATGTAGATGGTGCCTGCTGGGAGAACAGCCTGGACTTAGTGACACATGGATGAATGTCATCAGGCAGAGAGACAATCCAAAGCGTATCAGCTTCCGGTTTCAACTCTAAATACTCTGAAACTGAAAAAATGTTGTATTTCAACTCTGAAAATGCTCTTTGATTCACAGGACACATAAATCTTATATTGTAGCCTATTCTGTTTTTTTATATATATATATATATATATATAAATTTTGATTAGCAATCTTTGATAGAAATGTTTTAATTCAATTTAAAACAGCTATAAATGATCTCATTATGTGCATTCATTAATAAAAAATAAATTAAATTAGAATTAAAACAAAAATGTTCTGTGTAAAATGCATTTAATCAAATAATCACAAGTGATATTGATTCTAGTAAAAATGAAAGAGAAAATCTAAATATGCATTTAATTATAAATTTTCGTGCAATGTTCTGAGAAATAGCCAGATGTCTAGAAAAAGTAATAACACAGCACTTAAAGAAAAAAGAAAAAGCTTGATGCTGTTTAATTCAGCTGTCCCAGTTTTTACCATATGCAGTTCTGCATAAATATCTTTAGGGGGCGCTGCTCCGCTTACTGTGGCCTCAATTCATTTATTCAGAACTGCCCTTGGAAATTTGATAAGATCCACATCTCTGTCTGTATTATGTCTTTAAGATAACTTTGCTATCCTATCTGCACATCTATTTTTACCTTTAGAGAATGTGTTTGTTCTCATGCATGTCTAATGCTATCTTTACCGACATGTGAACTTAACAACTGAAAATGCATAGCACTATGAAATCAGTATACCAAAAAGCTCATAATGCATGCGTTTACTCAGCTATGGTAACATAGTGCATGTAAAAGACTGGCAGGCAGAAAAGGCAAATGAAGAGGTCAGTGTTGGTTGATTTGACTCTGCTCAGGCCACTGTGAAGTGTGTAGTTGGTGTTGTATTACTTGATGTATTACTGTGTGAATTAACAAACTCATTAAAGGTGCCGTATGTAATTTTTTGACTGTACTAAAGCACTAAATAAACAAGGGATGAATCGGTATGAAATTTTTGACCAATAACTGATAATTCTTTATATTTAAAAGCCACTAACCGATAAATCTAAATGCAAATTTTTATATAATTTTTGAGAGCCTGATTACAAAAGCAAAAGTCACCATGTCCCAATCACACAATGTTCTCATTATAATTTTATGTAGCCTATATTTTGCTGCACATGTTGCACTTAACGTTATTTTCGTTTTCAAAGTGATTCCAATCATATTTCGTAATTAAAGCAATTCAAAAACATTATGGGGAACTGCACATTTGGCCGAAGCCAGCAAACAAACTGGGTCAAAGATAGCAGATTATACCCGACACTCTAAGCCTCGGCATCCATCCATAGACTGTAAAAAATATGGACAAAGCGTCTGTGACGTCACCCATAGACTTTCTGAAGAACGGGCGCCATACTGGAAAATCTTGGGAAATACAAAATACAAATGTTCAAAATGGATACAGAGGTGGTATGATGTGTTGTGTCCGATCATGGCCGAGACGTCAAATTCCGCTCGGAGCAGCCCGTTATCAGCTGTCAATCAAAGTTAACCGCCCTTATTTGTCATACATTTTACATCTATATACGATCCAAACTAACGAGTTAGAAAAAAATTCACCCCCCTCACAGTTGTCAGGCAGGCGGAACATATAGAAGATTACAATAAAAGTCCATGGGACCAAAATGTAAAAGCATGAATTTACATTTTAACATGGGATATATGGACATTTGCTCCCTTTTGGGACTGGCCCCTAGCGGATTTTAGATGTATTGCAGTTTTTCGCACTTCCGGGTAGGCTTCATGTTTCAGATTAGAATGTTTCCACTTGCATCCATCGAAAAACTACTCATCCCTGTTGCGTGTCTTCAATCTGGTGAGGAGAAACAACTCTTGAACTTTGGACTGCAGTACCCATTTCAACCACTAGCCTGTCAATATTACATACTGCACCTTTAAAATAATAGCAAGTGCAGTTTAAGATTTGTGTTTGGAATATTGGTTTACCTGTCAAGGCTTACTTGATTAAGTGTCTGTCAATGAGCGGGGTTATAAGTATGCAACGCTGGTTTAACTTATCTGACCCTGGGTCAAGGGTCATCGGTCGTTCCCTGAGGATGAATGTTGTTAACCTCTGTCTGCAGGGCAAACATCAAAGAAGTTCACAAGGGACGGGACAGCAGAGGAAGGGCAGCATGTGTGCAGTATTGTGCTATCTTTACAGAGTCAAATTCTACAGTCAAAACAAAATCAAAATGGACAGTGTTTACTTTCTTACTACACAAATCATTCATCAGTGCACATTATTCCAAAAAAAAAAAAAAAATCTAAAAAAGAATAAAAGGCCATTTTAATGTGAGGTGTGACTTTTGGTGTCTTTGTATCTAAAAGTTTCTCCCAACATCTGCATGGAATCGTAACTTTTTCTTCATACTTTTATCTGTGGACTTATAGCATAATGTCATATTTGATAAGAAGTAGGATGATAAATGCTTGAGATTCCTGCTAAATAAGCTAAAAGACAGACATTTCTCAAAATGAATTTCTTTCCTCAGCTATTAAATGGGCCTCAGAGGCTTTAAATGGGATTCACAGTCCTGGTCATTTATGAAAAGCGCATGTCAGCTTAATGATGCATTGGAGACTAAAATGACCTTCACTGTAAAAAAAATATTTTCAAGATTAGTTATCACAACATTTTTTCTTTTGTCAAATCAACTTAAATAATTCATTTAGTTCAGATAACTTATTATTTTGAGTTTCTGATGATTAAATAAATCTTCTTCATTGTGTTAACTCACGTTTTCAATTTCAATCAACTTAAAATTTTAAGGCAACCAGGTTACTTAATTTTTTAAGTTCAACCAACAATATTTTTTTTTTTACAGTGGGTATTCATCTGCTTAAAATGTTTTGAATTGAACATAACATATTTAATCAACTTAAAATTTTAAGGCAACCAGGTTACTTAATTTTTTAAGTTCAACCAACAATATTTTTTTTTTACAGTGGGTATTCATCTGCTTAAAATGTTTTGAATTGAACATAACAAGGTTTTGAATATATAACCCAATATCAAGGAGCCTTTGGACTAAGCCTTTCTCCATAGCCGTATTTTGATTTGATTATTTTCCATAATTATATTAAAATGATTTGATATCAATGTGGCTTTATAAATATGCCACTTGTCTTGCTCATGAGGACAGTTTCATTTGATTAGCCCTGTAAGTTTGGCCTTTGGGGGCTTTCTATTCGGCCAGGAACCGTATACTACGTTGGCTGTGCAACACCCATCATTCACATCCAGCACACTTTCTGCTGCAGTGATCATGTGACTCATGTGGTCCTGATGGTAAATGATCTCTGTGATTTGTGCAGAAAATGGGAATATAAAATCCCCGAGGATGCATTTGAGTTGGGTGAGGGGCGATTGCTATCCTGATGACATCATCGCGGAGCCCTTTCTTTTTCAGCTCCCTCTTCGTTCCCCCACCCCTTCTGTCTATTTCCTATTATGTGCTGTGTTTGCCGGGCTGATGCCTGACTGCTATAAAATAAGCTCTTTACTCATTCAACAGCAATGGGCATGCCCATGTGGTCTCGACTGAGGGGAGATAATGGCTTGGTGCAGTGACTTGAGGTAGTCAGGATGGCTTGTTAATCGTTTCTCATTGCACATCTATAATGGATTCCTTGATCGTTCTTTCACGCTTGATAAATGCTTATCCTTTTTTTCCGAATATGCTCATCAATCAACTTTTCTTGGCATTTTTGCACCCACAATCAATAGATGGACGGGCGGACGGACACACAGACTGTAATTTTGGCTGTTCTCTGGTGGGAAATATATTCTTACCCCATTGGCTTTGTTGATGGTATCTTGGACTCTGCAGGCAGTGCTACATTTCACTCTGCTCTTATCAACTCATCAAAGCAGAAACTCAATAAGTTTACACCACTCTTTTTTAAGGCCCTGCAATTGAATCCAGCCATGGGAGAGGATGCCATGCAGAACTGGGTCACATTCAAACAACAGGGAGCTGAAGCAATCACAAAAATGCTATTAGAAGGCCCACAATGAGATCGATTTGATAATTTAACAGCCAATGATGCATGTATCCCAAACAGCCAATTACAAACACTTGTGGGAAATTTGACAAATGTGTCGTGTTTGGGAACTTGGGTGATGTATTGAAATGATGGTGTAGCCTCAGTGACCGAACAAACACGTCCAGACTCACTACCGTGGTGTTGTTTATTTCGGCCATTTCTTTGGGAAGCATTTTCTGTGATCTGAATGCAGTATGGAGCGCAGAGCCTGCAGGAATCACAGCATGAGATCTACAACGGCAGATGAAGTGTAAAATGAGGTGATAAAACTCTACTCTCCATGCTGCCTGCGGTCTTAGCGGTCTATTCCGCAGGCTCGAGATCGGTATTTACGACAGGTACAGAGGATCTAAATCATCCTACGTACAATAGGCAGGGAGTGGGATACAGTGAAACACTGTAGCAGAGTACACAGTATCAGCCATAATAGCTTAAAGGTGCAGTGTGTAATTTATTTGATATTATAGCAACATCAAATTAGATTCCAACATGGATGGATGGATGGATGGATGGATGGATGGATGGATGGATAGGTAGATAGATAGATAGATAGATAGATAGATAGATAGATAGATAGATAGATAGATAGATAGATAGATAGATAGATAGATAGATAGATAGATAGATAGATAGATAGATAGATAGGCGGATGGATCGATATCTGATGTGTCTTAACTTCTCTCTGTTTGTACAGCATCGGGGATCTCCTCATCACCCACCACTCCAACACAACTGACCAAGCAGAGTTCTGCGTTTCTTCTGGAAGTCAGTCGGAATGACACCGTGCAGCGTTCCTCGTCCTCCCCCCTCGACACTGGACAGCACCACAGCCCACCTACTGCAAAACCACCGCACAGTCCGTGCTCAGCACATTTATCTACCTCACGTGCGGTGAGTGATCTGACATGCATGCTGAGCAATTTTCAGCATCATTCATTTGATCATGGATGCAGATTTTTTAATTACCAAAATACAAGCACAAATAACATTAAAGACAAAGCCCGGCAGATATGATTACGACTTAAAGTCCCTGTGGTGCAAATCAAGCTTTTAATGTTGTTGTTTTTAAAGGGATAGTTCACTTTGAAATTAATATTTGATATGTTTTAGCTTACCTCAAGGGCATCCAAGATGTAGGTGTCTTTGTTTACGCAGTAGTTTCAATTTTGATATTTTTGGGTCAAACCATTCGTGTCTAAGTCATATAATGGAGGTCTATGGTCACCACCTTAAAGAGCATGCACAGGGAAGTCCAAATTAAACATGATTTAATGACTCGTAAATGTAAGTACACATTGATGGCCTAAGACACGAAACGAGCGGTTTGTGTGAGAAAACAAACAGTATTTATATCGTTTTTACCTCTTGTTAACCGCTCGTTTCGTGTCCTAGGCCATCAGTGTGTACTTGCATTTACAAGTTATTAAATCATGTTTAATTTGGACTTGTCTGTGCATGCTCTTGATGTCTCATGTCCATTAAATGACTGACAGACAAAAACGGTTTGACCTAAAAATATAAAAATTGAAACTACAAAGACATACATCTTGGATGACCTTGAGGTAAGCTAAAACATACCAAAAATTAATTTCAAAATGGACTACCCCTTTAATATGCTTTAAGGCAAACTGTGAAAATTCACGTCAACACCATTGCTGAGTGTTTTCTCCTTAAAACTGCTGTGAACTAAGTCTCAAAATCGCAGTTTGAAATTGCCAATGTTTCTGACGCCACAAACATTGTTAACAATCATGACCACGAGTGGATCGCAAAGCTGGTGCGAGTGAGTGGAGGCGGGGCTAATTTGCATATTCATAGAACTGCTTAAAATAAATGATGTAGAGTTACATTCAAGCTATTGTAAGGCATGAAGGATTTCTTTTCAAGGATAAAACTTTTAAATATGTCATTTTGGTGATCAAAATATTTTGGATAAAAGTATTGACTAAAGAGGGACTGTTTTTGTACAAGAAAAGGATCAGCTCTTGCTCCGAAAATATTTTTTCAAACAATCGCAAGATTGGCACTTAAGAATGCATGCAGATTATGCAAATAAATGAACTATAAAACCTGAAGAATCTTTAATGTCATAGATATTAAATGTATTATTTAAAAAAACGATCAGCTTTCACAAGTCGCCTGTTCCTGTCGATGGATCTAACCTGATTTTTACGACTCAACCCACTGACCGTTCATCAAGTTCACAAGCCAAAATCAATACAGCAGTCACCATCTGCAGTGCTGTTGTCCTTGCCTCCTGCCCGCTAATCTAAGCAGAGGTCCAAGGCTGCACTCAGCAGATGTTTAATCAACTGTATCTTTACTCCTTCTCTCACACTTTGGGCCTCATTCGCTTACCGTACATACAGTACATGTGTATCAGTGTAAAACCTTCCCATTATTTTGGACTCTCCAGATTTGTGAACTAACATTTTTTTCTCATGGCTGGTATGTATTTGTTTACTTTTGCTGTATATTCATGGGGAGATTGTTTTTCTCACAAGGGCTCAAGTTTTATTCAGACTGCCACACCCACTGATTCATCAGGCAAGAATTTGGGCACAGTTCATTTTAATTACCCTCAATGCCAGATGTTGCTCTGGGAAAGACCATTCCAGTTGTGTGAAATATCTACAGTAGCCTAATGGAGCTGGACCTCTTCTATAGGTTTATAGCATGTATGTTAAATTGGTTCCATTCTAGATCTAAGAGGGCCGCTAAGGGGACAGAGAGATGGAAAAAAGACACAAGCGGGCAAGAAAGAGTGGCGCAAGTTGTTCTGCACTAAAGACATGGACAATTGTTCTGTGCATTGCAGATAGTGAATTTAGACACAAAGATACGTGCAAATACATTTTAGACAAGATTAAGAGAATTGAATCTTTAAAAATCACTCAAAAAATACCATAAGGCAAGGCAAGGCAAGTTTATTTATAGCACGTTTCATACACAATGGCAATTCAAAGTGCTTTACATAGAAGAAATTAAAATAAGAAATCAGAATAATTAAAACAGTTTAGAATAAACAGTTTAGAATAAGCTAAATAAATGAGGGGGGGGGGATATAATTCAAAATATAATTTCAATTATATATGAAATTATATCAAAAAATCATCATATATAATTTTTCCTCTCCCTCAAAAAGTGACAACTTTAACATGCTACATCTAAAAATATCTGGGGGGTATTTTGAGCAAAAAAATAATTTCACATGCACACTCTGGGGACATCAGATATTTATTACAGAGAGGATAATCTTGTGAAAATGGCATTATACTACCCGTTTACCTCCAGAAAGTGTCACTGAATCAGTGAGTAAATCTTTTTAGTGAACAGATTCGAAAGATTCAAATCACTGGGATGAATCAAAATCCCCACCCACCACCAACACCAGCAGCCAGTTTGAACAGCATGGCTCCACTCGCTTTTATATTCGCACATTGTCTACAGCAAATAACACAATAAATGAGTTAGCGGGATAGTTGATTTACCACTCTCTCCCTGTCAGACCGTTGACAGCTCGCGACTGCAGCAAACTGGAACAGTCCATTTGCAAAGAGCCGGAGGGGGAGGGTCTCTCCTCACTGACTTTACATTGGATGTACATGTACGGGTACACATTCGGAGCACGCCTGCAAACACCGACTGCCCCTACAAGGACCGATGGACCAGAAAACATGAGCACTTAGTATATTTCCCACCCGAAACAGTTCGGTTTGCGTTGCTTCCGTTTATTGTCTACTGTATCTTTATTAAACTCTGACAGCCAACTTCCGATCTCACAGCGGTCTCCTCACCGTCTGTCTGCCGGTGTGTGTGTGTTGTGTGTGTGTGTGTGTGTGTGTGTGTGGACGGCACGACGGGAGGGCTGCCTGAGATCGCCTCGACTGTTCTTGACTCTTGTCACTCTGTCTCCAGGTCCACGGTTTATCTGAAGACATGCTGGAGAAACTCGATCTCGAGGATGAAGGTAAGCCTCTTTAGGAAATATGTCGTGATTCTTACGACCTTCCTTCGTTTTCTCAACCGGCTGGTTCAGCAGCTTCGATTTCTTGACAGTTGACATTAACATATTCTTTGCTGATTTATTTATTCCTCGCATTTAGAGTGATAGTCTATTTTAATCTCGTTCATAATCTAACGTTAACTCGCGTATAATAACGCGATGGTGATTTTCCTCTCGTCACTTGGTCATTTCTGGGGCATCAGTGGCATGGCCTTTTAAACAGTGTATCGATATCAAATCCAGCTGTTTAGGAACCACTGGATATCCCAGTAATGTATCGGGATCCCCATTCGTCATTTCTAACCTGTTGGGTGTAGATGCGTCAGATGATGCTATTGGCTGGAGACGCCTCACCCACGCCAAGGAGTCCCTCAGGGGTGAGGGTATAATGTCCAAATATTTTATTGCTTTTTTCAGTCAACAATGAGAATGTTTGTGGAGAAACCCAGTCAGTCTTTAAACTTACTTTAAAATATTTTAAAAACATTTATAAGAAATTTTTCATTAATGTGATTTGATTCTTTTTAAGAAGTGTATGGCTGCAGTTTTATTAAGTAATCAGTCCCATAATCATAAGTTGACTTAATAAGGAATGCTGTTCGAAGGCTATGAACCAGCCCTGAAGCTGTTTTCGGAGCGAACATTTTCCCGTGAAGTGCTTTTGCCTCAAGGTTTGGCGGCATGGTTTTCCCAGCAATATGAGGAGAGCATACCACATTGATCTGGCATTGGCATCGCAAGTCTTCTCATTCTTTTCAAAGGCTTTTGCAGCTGTTCTTTCGACTGTTGTGCCCTACCTTTTAGGGGAAACAGAGCGGACACCCTCCAGAAGAGGTCGTGCAGGCTTCAGATCTGCACTCTCATGCTGAGGTTGAGGGTTTTCCCCAAAGCAGTGACAGTGAAGTCCTCTAAACCTTCTCCCACACTTCATAAACATATCTGTTAAAACCCTGGGCCCTGGCTGGTGTTTTTAGATTAGTTTTTTGATGAGTTTGTGTTGGTGTGCACTATTCTGTACAAGGACACTGACTTTAAAAAAGTGAAATTATTCACACTAAAAGAACAGACTGTATTTTAAAGTATTATTCTCATTCACGAGGAGCAGCAATGTCAGATTTATAAAATTTTTTTGAGGACAATCAATTTGATTGTGATTCAGATCGAATTAGTTCTCCAGTTCAACTAGTTTGTTCAGTAAACTATAGTAAAAAGCCAGTGTTATACGTTTATTTATATTTTGAATTAGCCTTTATAGCCTACTTTAATCTTAATTTTAATCTGTTTTATATATTTTTATGTGCTTATGTTATTTTCGTTAGAACTTTATTTGAATATTTCTTTTTAGCTGTAATTATTATTTTATTTCAGTTTTATTTTTACACATTTTTAGTACTTTAGCTTATACTTGTTTATTTTATTCAGTTGCCAAAGCAGCATTTCTATTCAGCATTTTTTTTATTTAAGTTGTGCATCTAATATTTGTATTTTATTGTATTTTATTTCAGCTTTATTTCAAATTCCGATAATGATTTTAAACAGTTTTAGTTTACTGACAAAAAACAACAACTATTGAATACTTTTAGTGCAGGACTTAAGTGATTTTTAAATTCTTTTTGCGTCAAATCAAAGTTTGTAGTGCTATGATTCACCTCGTACCTTGTAGGCTTATTTCATGGCTTATAACGTTTTAACAAAGACTTTTAAAATAAAATCTGTATGGTAGAAATGAATGGAAAAAATACCTCAGGAACGAGCGCCGCTGAAAAAGAACACTCTATAGCACAATAAAAGAGCGATTATTGAGCGACCCAATCCTTTAAAATCATATTTGAAAACTCTGCTTTGCAGGCTAATTTAATGTAATAAATAATATCTTAGCCTATCTAATGTCTTGTTGAGGACATGCACAGGGCAGTGTGCTTTTTGAAGTATTAATAGCGTGTGCTAGTTTTTGAAGCGCCTTCATTAAATGATGTCTTGAAGGCATTGGTTTGGAGAATGCGCTTCTGGAGCGTTCCAGGGTGGTCTGGCGTGTTGCTCGAATAGCATGTGAAAACTAGAATGTGTTCAACAAACAAAAGATTCATTCTGCAGTAATTCAGTTCTTTGAATAGCCACGGTGGACATCAGCCAAAGTGTCATGCTTCTGGTTTTGTTGGATCTAAACACAGACTTTCTGAGTAGCTTTTCTTTTGTCATTTGTTTGGGCTTATATGTGGATAATACTTTTGTTTGGTAGCTATAAATTATGATTATCACAAATCGTGCACTAAAATGGGTGTGTTGTTGTTCTCTTAATGAATAATTCAGGAAAATAATGACAGTGTTCAAAAACCCAACCCCATTTGCTATTGGTCGGGAAAATAGTGTGCAACAGTCTGATATCAAAATCTCAAAATCCCATTTTCATGATTTTTAACGATAACTTATACAATTTTTAAAACAGACCTACTGTGAGTTACGAGTTTGTTAATCGATGGTATATATTTCTAATGAAGCCGTCAGCCCACATTATTTGAACTTATTTTTTAAGTAATCGTATTTAACAGTGAAATTCCTTGTGAAAAACTACATTACCCATGCAAAAAACAAAACAAATAATTAAATAAATACACCCAACAGTTACCCTGAAGCACTGTTAAACACTATCAATATATGCACGAATAAATGAAAATATATTGTCTATATTTAAATAATAAACTTCTTTAAATCAGTAGTTGTATATTTATCCATCATTTTTATTTTTATTTGTCATTTGCAATGCTTCATGGGATTGTAGTTATTTCCCTCATTGAAGCTGTTAAGTACAAAGTCTTGTACTATTGTCTAAATCTCAAATACTTTTGCTTCACATCAAAGTTAATATTGTAATTCATCTCATAACTGGTCGATTTGGTTCATGGCTTCTAACACTTTAACGAAGGCGTTTTAAAAATACGAAATCCTTCCAGAACCAAGGCTGCAGGGCGGGCATTGTTGCACCCCAAACTCCCTTAATTGGTTGAGCCTGCTGCCATATGAGATTGGTCTGGATCATAGACTGTAAAAAAAGATGGACGATGCCCCTTCGCTCTTTTCCATTGGAGAGAACTGAAGACACCAGTCTCCCAAAAATATGGCGCTGACTTCTTGGGACTTGAGTCTGCACACTTCCGTTTTCGGGACCGGACATGTGCAATCGTGGGCAAGCTTTTCTGCTTTTATTTTTTTCAAATCCACTCAGTACAGAGCAGCTGCAACTAGACTGTCCTATTAAATTGTTTCCATGAGCTAATGCTAGCTACTCTGACAATAGCCAGTAGTGTTAAACTGCTGAAGCGATGGTGAGAAATACTCTGAACCTTCTATTAACCTCAGCACACTGAGTGTGTCAACTTAACACGCATTGTACTCTACTTTTTGTGGTCCCACATAATGAAAGAACTGTTGAGTTCGATCACTTACTGAAAATACACCGTAGCTGAGGATCAGATGTTAACTTTCTCAAAGCAGTGGTTAAAAACGGATTCTAGGTGAAACTATCAATCAAGTGTTTACGAACACGAAGCTGCATGACGTGAATGTTAATAAGAGCTGCTTTCTCCATAGGCTTTTTGACCAATGTGTGGTGAAACGTCTTGAGAAATCCTAGACTGCACCTACTGTACAGTCTTGACAAAAAAAAAGCTTTCACTTCAGTGTTGTTTTTAGTCTAGACAACTGCTGAGGAATCAGTTCAGTGTCTAAGAATACTACTGTAAGAATTACCATGGCAACTGGAGACATTAGGCCGGATGCTGCTGAAAGGAACAACAAGAGAGAGACATCAGAGTCCGCCAGATCTACTCGTCTTTTGTGTGTGTGTGTGTGTGTGTATGTGTGTGGCGTCCATTGTAAATGACGCTGTTTTTACTTTATTTTCAACATAAGCTTTTCTGAGTCAGTACACCTAGCTTGGGTTGTTTCGCAAAGTGTATAGTGTAAATGCAGTTATTGGATATGGATAATTTTTAAAAGAACATGGTCATAAAAAAAAACAAATATTGTCAACCAATCAGAATTGGGCGTCAAGATCTTGCAGCCAGACAATAAAACTTTTTTTTAAAATGTGTAGGAAAATGTTGTTTAATTTGATTCATTTTTATCACAACAGCTATTTTCATCCATCTTTTCTCTTTGTACACTTAGTAGGTGTTATTGGTATTTTGATGCTTGTGCAGCTTAATGTTTATTAATTGATTTAAAAAATAAAAGAAAGACATTTTTATAATGAATGCATCGGTTCTTCAGCCTTTTAGGAGTATGTTAGTGCTAATAACAACTTATTGGCATGTACTTAGTCTCACTTTGCTCTCTGATTGACTGTGTTTCCGTTTATTGGTGTCTTTGCAGCTGTTGAACAATCCGAGAGCGACATTTACATGCGTTTTATGAAGTTACATAAGTGCTACGACATCGTCCCTACCAGCTCCAAGCTAGTGGTCTTTGACACAACGCTGCAGGTAAGTGCTCTAGAATCTAGATGTTCCTGTTACGCAAGATGTCTGTCAGACATGTCATCCATGAGTTGAAATAATAATGTTATCCATAACTTGCATTCCTCAAAGTTAGTTACGGTAACAAAAAAAAGTACAAAGTAATCTTCACAATTTTCCCTCTCGTCTCACTATTCTTGTTAAAAACACATTCTCATTAGAATCATGCCAAATAATTCTTTAGTCATTTGTTTATATTGAATCTGGGAAAGGATTTTGTTTGATTTGATCTGCTCAATGATTATTCCTGAATTTGTTTAGTCATAATGAAAGGTGAAGTGTGTAATTTTCAAAAATAATGACAATATTAGTGCCATAAAAGGTTGTCTTTTTTTAATTCTACAAGTGATTTTTGGCATCACAATATTACAATGCACAGTATGAAATAAATTAATTTAAATATAAATATTAGGGCTGTCAAATGATTAATTGCGATTAATCGCATCCAAAATAAAAGTTTGTGTTTAAATAATATATGTGGGTGCACTGTGTATAATTATTTTATATATATATATAAATACACACACATGCTTATATATATTTAAGAAATATTTTCATGTATATAGTATATATAGATTTATATATAATTTGTATGATATGTAAATATAAATATTTTATATATAAATAATATTTTTTTTCTTAAATATACATGTGTGTGTGTAATATTTATATGTATACAAATAATTATACACCGTGCACCCACATATATTATGTAAACACAAACTTTTATTTGGGATGTGATCGCGATTAATCGTTTGGCAGCCCTAATAAATATTAAATGTATAAATAAATAAAATAAAATTTTAATCTTTAACAGTTGTATTACATTTAATAATGTTATTAAGTGAGGAAGTAAAAATAAATGTAAATATAGGAAGAATGATTGTGCACAATTAAATATTCTATATTATGATATTGATAAAGTTAAATATTAAATTTCAATTTAAATATCGACAGATAACCGATATCATATATATATATATATATATATATATATTCTGAGATATTTTATTTAGTGATTTTCAATCTGTATTCCATTTAGTGCATGAATGTTTTCAATATTATCCAAACGCTGCTATTATTATTTCAGTCTTTTTGAAGAGCCAATGATTGGGATCAGATGGTTTTCAAAGCCAATCAAAATGCTACTTTTAGAAAGGAGTCAGTTTCATGTCTATAATCCTGCTTCTTTTCACCCTGTTTGAGTCTGTCTGTCTTTGTCTTGATCTGACTTGCTTCTTTTCCCAGTGGTTTGTTATACCACGTATTGACGTTTGTCTCCTGTTCTCCCAGTAGAGTCCACACAGCGATATTGTGTGATCAGCACATATGTTTCCAGTCTTATCCAGTATTGCACGTGCTGTCATAAACCCCTCCATCAGCATCTGTGCGGTCTGCTTGTAATGTTCAATGGTGGTGCAGGGATCCACGGGGTCAATACGTCGATATGTTTAAATATTTGATAATGAATTCTAGATGAATGGCCTGCAGTGGGATTGTTTTGGACAGAAGATCCAAGTCTATGTTCTTGATCACTGACTCATAGCATTGATACACTAGCTGTCGACCCCTGTTCAGAATAGTTTCCATACCTCATAAGGGCCAGCCTTGGGGAACGTCTCATTATGTTCCATGCCATGACTCGATTAATGTTTAATAATCTCCGATTGGGCTGGAACATCACCCAAGGAGGGAGAAAAGAGGCTGACATGATTTATTTAAGAATGCCTGTGAGACGCCATGATTAATGCTTTGTTTAGCTGCATGGCAGTATCGACAGTGTTTGAATGGATCGGCCTGCCCAAATCCTCCTTGGTGGAATTTATTCCTACGACAAAGGCTTTGCAGTTGCCTTTAGCTAGTACTAATTATTATAAAATTTTTGATAGAAGAATTTCACAGGATTACATATGGTTTCTGGTAATTTAGGATTTGGATGTATGCCTGTTGTAACAGAGTTTTGTTAAGGGCTTGGAATTAAATATTCACAGATTCTACAGGTTCACACAGGCCTGGTTGCTCACCTCAGGTTATGTGCCTGCGTTGAGCAAGTTATCATACCATGCAATGGAGGGGTGAGGGGAAGATAAGAATTCCTGGATCAAAGTGTGGCCCCAGCTTTGCATGTCAAGACTTAACTTTGCATGTCAAGTGTGTGTGTATATATATATATATATATATATATAATTCAAAATTAAAAAAAAAAAATCTTCAGAATTGATTTGTTTTCCATAGAGATAATTGTTTTTAATTGTTTAAAATGTTTTTACAGAAATTCCTATTTTTAAAGCAAATTTAACTCATTATTTATATAATTATATTTTAAAAATACCCATTCATTATTAAGGAAAAATGCTAAGCTTTACAATTAATATTAACCCGAAATGAAAATAAATTAATTTGTTGTGATACTTTATTATTAATATTATTATTATTATTAGAAGTATTATTATAATGGTAGTAATATTGTTAAATGCATTGTGGATATTTTTCTTCTTCTTCTCATTATCATATGCATTATGAGAATTTTATTAATAATAATTAATAGTATTATTACTTTTGCTATTGTATATCTGTCACGGTGCGGTGCAGGCAGAAGGACAGGCTGAGTCCAGATTCAATTAATATAACTTTTACTCACAAAAGGAACAGGCAAGGATAAAGATGAACACGAGCAAACACAGGGTAACATCAACATTGACCGACAAAGACTGAATGGAACAGAGGGAACTAAATACATGGAAGAATCAAACATAATGAGGTGCAAACAGGTGAAACAGATGAAACAGGACGCTGAACGGGAGGCTGATGAGGGAGTGAGTTCAGGTGTGCAGACGAGAGGATCATGGGAAGTGTAGTGCAGGAGACGCAGACAGGATGGTGCAGACGCAGACTGTGACAGAACTCCCCCCTCCCGGGAGGCGTGACCTCACGCCGCAGAACAGAGGAAGGAGGGGGGACGAACTGGGGGCTGAGCGGGACGTGGCCAGGGCGGAGCAGGCTGAGGGCGTGGCCAGGGCGGAGCAGGCTGAGGGCGTGGCCAGGGCGGAGCAGGCTGAGGGCGTGGCCAGGGCGGAGCAGGCGGAGGGAGGACCCCTGGTGGAGCCGATGGTAGTGGGGCTGACAACACCAGGGGGCCGACTGACAGGGGCGGAGCAGATGGGAGAGGAGACCAGGGTGCAGCTGAGGGACAGACGACATTGGGTGCTGAGGAGGGACCGAGGGACCATGGTGACACCGTAGGCTCAGGTGACCGAAGTGATGACAGGGGCACAGAGGGACACGGTGAGGCCAGAGGGAGTGAGGGCTGACGGGTGACTGAAGGGAGTGAGGAGTCCGACAGAACCGGGGGGGTGACATGACGGGGCGGAGCTATGGGAAGGAAGTCCAAAGGTGAAGGGAGGATGACGAGGGAGCGAAGGGAATCTGGAGGGACGAGGGAGTCTGGCCGAGCTGGTGGACTGATGGGCCATGGAGGAGCTGAGGGAGGTAAGAGCCACGGGGGAGCCAATGGGACCGGGGGCCGAGGAAGTGTCCATGTGGAGGAGGTGGGAGGCGAAACCCGGGGATCCCATGACCAGGCTGGGTCAGGGGAGCTAGTAGACAGAAGGGCTGACGGATGCATGACGGGAGGAGGTGGGAGAGGGAGGCTGGGTGGGATCCTGGTCTCGGGCTCTGGCTGGACGGTCTCGGGCTCTGGCTGGACGGTCTCGGGCTCTGGCTGGACGGTCTCGGGCTCAGGCTCTGGCTGGACGGTCTCGGGCTCTGGCTGGACGGTCTCGGGCTCTGGCTGGACGGTCTCGGGCTCTGGCTCTGGCTGGACGGTCTCGGGCTCTGGCTGGACGGTCTCGGGCTCTGGCTCTGGCTGGACGGTCTCGGGCTCTGGCTGGACGGTCTCGGGCTCTGGCTCTGGCTGGACGGTCTCAGGCTCTGGCTCTGGCTGGACGGTCTCAGGCTCTGGCTCTGGCTGGACGGTCTCAGGCTCTGGCTCTGGCTGGACGGTCTCAGGCTCTGGCTCTGGCTGGACGGTCTCGGGCTCTGGCTCTGGCTGGACGGTCTCGGGCTCTGGCTCTGGCTGGACGGTCTCGGGCTCTGGCTCTGGCTGGACGGTCTCGGGCTCTGGCTGGACGGTCTCGGGCTCTGGCTCTGGCTGGACCGTCTCGGGCTCTGGCTCTGGCTGGACGGTCTCGGGCTCTGGCTCTGGCTGGACGGTCTCGGGCTCTGGCTGGACGGTCTCTGGCTCTGGCTGGACGGTCTCTGGCGCTGGCTGGACGGTCACGGGCTCTGGTGTTGGAGTGGGGCTGGTGACGTCATCGACGGTGAAAGATGATCCACAGCTTACCAGCACCCACTCCACATAAGCCGCGAAGCTCAACTGGGAGCCCTCCCCGGACAACTGCTCTCTGGTGGCGGTGTTGAGGCCAGCATATAAAAAGCTGCAGAGGCTGTCGTCCGGGAAGGTGGTAGAGGGGACGAGGTTGAGGAAATCCTCCAGATGGTCCTCCAAGGAACGATCTCCTTGCTCCAAACAAAGCAGTGCTACTGCTGCAAAGGAATCCATTTTTGGGGTCGGTCAATCTGTCACGGTGCGGTGCAGGCAGAAGGACAGGCTGAGTCCAGATTCAATTAATATAACTTTTACTCACAAAAGGAACAGGCAAGGATAAAGATGAACACGAGCAAACACAGGGTAACATCAACATTGACCGACAAAGACTGAATGGAACAGAGGGAACTAAATACATGGAAGAATCAAACATAATGAGGTGCAAACAGGTGAAACAGATGAAACAGGACGCTGAACGGGAGGCTGATGAGGGAGTGAGTTCAGGTGTGCAGACGAGAGGATCATGGGAAGTGTAGTGCAGGAGACGCAGACAGGATGGTGCAGACGCAGACTGTGACAATATCATTATTTATAGTATTTTTTAAATCTATGGTGGCTATTTTACACAATACGTTTTAAACAAAAGTAATAATTTGATCAAATTTAACACTTTTGTTAAGCTATCCACAATGCATATTGTCATCTTGTCAAAAAGTAGAATTGTTTATTGGACATTTGTCTTGAAAATTTATTAAAAAAAAAAGCAATACCGGTCGATTTCCCCTATGAAATTTCTCATGAATTCTTCCTTAAACGTATTATGACTGTGGCTGAATGCTTGGACGGGAATGAACATGGTTTGGTTGAAATCCAGTGTTTATCTGTGGAAGGTCTTCAAAGGTAATTAGACTCCATACTTGTGTGCATACTGCATACTTGGACACACCTTTGGAGGCACGTTTAATCTGAGATGCTTGGAGTAAACAGCGCCCTCTGCTTGTCACTGCTTAATGGTGTGGGAAAAATACATGTTAGATGTAACATAAAATATGTTTTTGTTCTTTTCTGTTTAGGTTAAAAAGGCCTTTTTTGCCTTGGTGGCCAATGGGGTCCGAGCAGCCCCTCTGTGGGAGACCAAGAAGCAAAGTTTTGTGGGTAAGTATATCAAGTATGGTATCAGAATGAGTACAAAACCCACCATATTTTGATACGAGTGACAGAATCCCTTTTGTAAGAACAACAGCCTGATCTTTGATGGTAAAAGCTCTTAAAGGTATTAAAAATCTGTCGTCTTATCAGTTTCCAAGAGCGTTTTCCTTATCTACGGCTTTTTAAACCGAGGGTTGTATTGTAAGTGGAGCAGCTCTTTGGCAGACTCTCTAAGGGAGTGTAACATATACATCCAGATCTCTGTGGCCCTAGAAGAGATTCAGACTGGAGATGATCCTTCCTGTCACCCTCCACAGCACTCAGCGGCCCGCTGATTTAGAGTCTTATCTGTTACCATGACACAACCTGCTCAAAATAGAAGCGTGTGCTGACCAGAGTCTCAGCATTTGCCTCTGGCCCCAATAGAAGTGAAATAATGGTTTCTATGAGTTAAGCAGAATTAGCAGTCAGGAGCTTTCAAAGAAATAGTGTTGTGGAAAATACTGTTCGGCAAATGTTGGGGTTTTTGAAAGATGTCTCTTATGTTCACCAAGGCTGCATTTATTTGATAAAAAAATACAGTAAAACAGGGATATTATGAAGAATTATTACAAATTAAAAAAGCTATTTCTATTTTATTTTATTTTTAAAATGTAATTTATTCCTGTGATGCAAAGCTCAGTTTTCAGCAGGATTTCTCCAGTCTTCAGCGTCATAATGATCATTTTTATTATGGTTTAATCCTTCAGAAATCTTTCTAATCTGCTGATTTGCTGCTCAAGAAAAAAAAAATCAATGCTGAAAACAGTTGTGCTGCTTTATAATTTCTTGTTATCAAGATTCTTTAATGAATAGAAAGTTGAAAACAACAGCATTTATTTGAAATATACATTTTTTTTGTAACAAAGTACTGTAAAAGTCTTGACTTTACTTTTTATCAGTTCAATGCATCCTTGCTGAATAAAATAGTTAATTTAGTTCCAAAATTGTTTATCCCTAAAACCGTATTCTGGACAAATGTGGGCAAAATAGTTTTGATTTATTTAAAAAAAAATACTTCCCTTTATCTGAGTGGTACAAGACTTGGCTACTTTTCCTAAGTTTGCCGCCTGAACACACACACATTTTTTTTCTGAATAAATTCTACAATGTTAAGTGGGTGAAAAAACCTCCTTAATCTTGTATTTGGGTCAAAAATGGGCACCCATAGAAATGAATGGGAAAAACTGTGATTTAGAGCATTTTAAAATAAGCCAAAATAAGACACCAGGTGACAGCAAAGTTGCTTACGTAAAAACATAAAACGTAAAAATAAGCATAATTTACATAAAAAATATGGTACTTTTTGAAGTAAATAAATTAAAAAATACACCCAAAATAAAAAAAACACCATAAATGGATAGACAAAACTTTATCGAAGACAGTGATATAACATTTATAATAAATAAAAATTAGGATCACGCCTGAGTTCTCTGTGCCCACATTTGTCCACAATTACAGGATTAAGGACTATAAAGTGAATATGGTCAAAAACGTTTAAAATTCTGCCATTTACACAGCTTTATGTCATTTCAAACATGTATTACTTACTTTCTTTTGTGAAACATAAAGAAGATATTTGGAAAGAAAGAATTAAATTAGGGCTGTGCAAAAGTTAATTGCGATTAATCGCATCCAAAATAAAAGTCTGTGTTTACATAATATATTTGTGTGTACTGTATATAATTATTTTGTATATATAAATACCTATGCATGCATGTATATATTTAAGAATTATTTGCGCTTAAATTCTGTTTATATATATAAATACATAATCTATATTATATAAATATAAATATTTTATATATGAATAACACATTTTCTTAAATATATACATGCATGTGTGTGTATTTATATATACAAAATAATTATATACAGCACACACAAATATATAATGTTAACACAGACTTTTATTTTGGATGCGATTAATCGCAATTAATTTTTGCACAGCCCTAAATTAAATTTAATATTTTTGTGTGAACGGTTCCTTTAAGAGACCGAAATAAATAAATAAAAAAGAGACGAGTCCTAAATTACATCTTCACGGGTGGTAAAATCATTTAGTCCTGATCTAAAAAAAATCTCTATAACCCAGTGTAAGTGCCTTCATCTTATAAAGCTCGTCCTTTCATTATAAAGGAGTCATATTGGGATAACCTCTCAACACCAACCTCAGAAAATGAATGACTCACCGCACCGGGAGAGGAAACTCATGAGTGACTCAGACTGATCCACAACAGACCCCATGCAATGTGACTGTCTCCACTAAATATCAAATAGCTAACTGTAAATAGTCGTCCTCTGAGGTATCCAGGGACAGTATCTCTCTGTGTCCTCTCTACAGCGATAACACAATCATAACAGACAGCCTGCAGGATACAGCTCACCAAAACACCATCAAGCCTCTGTCAGATATCTGATAAATATGGTGCATTTATAAATTTAATCTCAACCTCATAAAGCCTCGTATTTCCTGCTTTATGTGGCCAGCTGTTGCTGTTTCGGTAGATTTTCTTGTTCTCCCCGGGCTGCTGATCTGTGCTGGTCCACCATAAGCCTCTCAGTGTTGATAAAGGGCTGTTTGAGTGTGTCTGAAGTGCTGAGTCACTTGCCTTCCCGCAGGCTCAGGCACAAATACAGTTATTATTAAAGAGATAGTTCACATAAAAAATGAAATTCTGTCATCGTCTACTCACCCTGATATTAATTAACCTCTCACCTCTGAGAGCTCTTTTAGGAGTCCCTCTCAGCTTAATTCAATCACCACAACGGCTCCAGCCCTTCAGCACGCTGAAAAATGAATAATTTACATGGTGATCAGGAGGATATGATGCTGTTCTGTTAGTTGAGTACCAGAATAACCTACTACTTTTGTTGAGATTCTGAAGTGCGCATTCGATGGACACTTTACCATCCCAGTCTCTTCCACTGCTCAAGTCTTGCAGCCCCACAATCCCTCATTTCTTCTCTTGCTGATTAAGACTGAGGCCACGATGTGGTCCGGCTTGACAGGAGCAGATAAAAATACTCCTGCACCGTTCATCGCCTTTTAATCAAGAGAGTGATTACACTGTGGTGGTGTGAGCATCAGAAGCTCTCTCTGCTTTCTTCCGGCTCTGATTTAGCCACAGTCCAGAAGTCGGCTGCCAGGGTTTATGTAATGTTGTAAATACTGGCCTCTCAGTTTACAGTCATCACTCATATGTGACTCTTCTCTAGGAGGCAGAACATTAATGTTGACTTACTTTCTACTCCGGTGTCGTGTTTATATGTGTGGATGGATTGTGTTAAGGTGCTATATGAGATCTGTTTTAGCTCACGGTTGGCACAACGCCACACCTCTTGGAGAACCTCCCTTCTGAATGAGCTCCACTGTACTGTGTGTTGGGAAACCCATGCCATCTCGTTTTACTTTTTATTAGTAGTTCAAATGAAGACTAGAGAGTTCCTCGCTTTCACACTTGAGTCTTAATATATCTTTCTTGTTTCTCTGCAGGCATGCTGACCATCACAGACTTCATCAACATACTTCACAGATACTACAAATCACCCATGGTACGTCATTTTTGTGTTCTTGTTTTCTAGTTTTCAGCAGAAAAACTGAACTCTTAGGGCCTCAACACACTAACAATTTCATATTCCATTGCTATTTATTCATTCATTCATATATGTATATATGTCATTCATATGTGTATATATGTTTGACCATATATGTATATCTTATACATGGTCTTTCTCATATAATTCTTTTTTAGGGTTTTAGGCCTGAAATCTATTACTCTCAATTTCAGACTATATTGTGATAATAATGGTTATGTTATTTTTATCTATTCATCCATTCATATATATATATATATATATATATATATATGAAGAGTTCAGATGCAAAAGCCTCTAAATGCCATTTGAAATTTTCTTCTTTAATGATGATTTTTATCAAACTTGTATATTTAAGTTCAGTAATTTCACTTGAATAACAATTAATAGGTAATTACCATTGCCATTTAAGTGAAATTACTGAACTTAAATATACAAGCTTGATAAAAATCATCATTCTAGAAGAAAATTTCAAATGGCACTTAGAGGCTTTTGCATCTGAACTCTTCATATATATATACCCCAGACTTTTAACTCTTTTTTGGTGAATTTTTAAATTACAAGTCAAAAGAAAAAATTGTGCAGATTTATTATTTATAGCCGCCTATGATCATATTTACCAGGGGTGCCAATAATTCGCACCAAAACTGCATATGTGCATATATATATATATATATATATATATGGCCTTTCTTATGTTATTTTTTCTCTCTTGGGCCTCTTACGCAACATTTTATTTTTATTGCATCATTTATTTATTTTATTGCCTGATTTTGTATGTACTTCACTGACATCAAGTGTTCATGTGTACAGTAAAACACGCTGTATTTATCTTTGCAAATGGGCCTTTGATGGCCATGAGCATTTTGTGAACCTCACGCCATTTAAAATAACTTGAACTGCTCTGACTCCTGTGCTCCGTTTGAATTCCAGAAACACTTCACTGTTTGCAAAAAGTTGCTTATATAATTCACAGCCTCAAATCCGCTGTACAACTTCTCTTCCTGCTCATCATTATTCATATTAGAGTCTTGTGAATTTATTCAAGAACAAAGAAACCACAAATCACTTTGAATAAAAGCAACATCCTCTCACATTTATTTGGAAATGAAACGGCCCATCAGTTCTATTCTGTAGAGACAGGAAGTAGTTAAGATTGCTGTAAAGCTTCTTCCTACGCTTACAGGGAAAGCACAGCTGTGGCTTAATTATTTATCTTTGTGTGCGTATGTTGCATTCTGATGATGGTCTCAAATAGACTCTAACAATTCCACACATGTCCATGTGTTTCTCAATTGGCAGGATGTGTTTTGAAGAGTGCGCTGTTTGTTGGGAAATACCATGATTTTTTACCATTTACTGTATAGACCATTTCACAAGATGTAAACAACACTGGTCCAGAAGCACTTCCTGTTTCAGTTTTTTAACACTACATAAAGCTGGGATAAAATACAACCAACAGAACATTTAAAACTGAATCAAAAAGTTAAACCAACATCTTTAAGATGTTTTCTTTACATGTGAAATAAAGAAAACAGTTACAAACTGAAACAGGAAGTGTTTCTGGACCAGTGTTGTTTACATCTTGTGAAATGGTCTATATACATTTATGCTTTACCGTTCAAAGGTTTGGGGTCAATAAGAAGTTTTCCAAAAAGTCTCTTTTGCTCACCAAGGCTGCCTTTATGATCAAAAATACAGTAAAAACATAATATTGTGCAATATTACAATTTAAAAATGTACTTTATTTCTGTGATGCAAAAAAATCATTACTCCAGTCTTCAGTGTCACATGATCTTTCAGAAATCATTCTAATATGCTGATTTGCTGCTCAAGAAGCAACAGAACAGCATTTAATTGAAATAGAAAACTTTTATAACATTTTTAAATGTCTTTACTTTTGATACAGTATGATGCACCATTTCTGAATAAAAATAAATATTTTTAAAATAATCTTACTGACCCACAAAAATTTTAATTGGTAGTGTAGATTATTAATGAATGCAACATTTCATTTTAAATTTTACATTATATTTGAATTGAAGTCATCTTTAAGAGCAGGTAATTCTAAACACACTAATATTTATATATAAACATCCATTCAGTATTTAGCAATTTGCATAGAACGGAGAAACTATCAGAGTTTATCCAATCATGATGGAGATAATTTATGAGCAGAAGTCTTAAAGGTAAAAACTTTTTTTTTTTAAGTGGACTTTATATCTAATTGTAGAATATGTCCCCTTTAAGTACTGGCACACACTCGCTAACACTCTCATTGCAGCGTTGCAACCCATTTTCATCTCCCATCGGTCATTATCACGCACTGAAAGGTGCACACACACATGCACACGGTAATCATTAGCTAGCATATGGAACAGGAGCTTGTGCATCCTCTGATCAGCCGTGCTTTATTATGATTAGTCATGCGGGTTTAGACGTTACCCTACATCAGCAGTGTGGTGCGGATCTTTAATTGGTGCTCCTATGGGAAGCCTGCTGTTTCTGTGCCTCACTTTCACTCAGTCAGTGGTTTTGCTGGACTATCTCCTTTTCCCAGTTTCAGGAATCAAGCTTTTTTGGGGTTTCCCAAACTTGGACCTCGTCTGTGTTTCTCATTGGTCTTGTTGGTCAACAGATGCTCAAGTTATGTCAGATTGTGTTACATTTTCTCAGGTGTTGGTCAAATGAGGGACGTTAATGTCACAATGGCTCAAGAGTTTTGGGTAACACTTTACAATAAAGTTAATGCTCTGTGGACAAACAATGAACAACTGTATTTTTACAAACTAACAGTAATAAAAACTGTAACAAAAGTATTGCTCATTGTTAGCTCATGTTCACTAATGTTAACAAATGAGACCTTATTGTAAAGTGTTACCATTATTTATTGTAAAATATGCTCATCTGCAACCTATAGTTAAATATTGCTATTACGTATATGTTACCTATAATTTATATATATTTAAATACACTTTAATAATTGTATTTATACTAGTTATTTATAATAATTGTATGTAGGCTAATACAATTTAAATACAATAATAATAATAATATACATTTTTCAATTGATACATTTATTAGGATATCAGTATAATGTGAATGTTTGCAATTTGAGTAATAGTCTCTTATTTGTGTTCAGGTACAAATCTATGAGCTTGAGGAGCATAAAATTGAGACGTGGAGAGGTAAGACATTTTCACAGGTGTTTTCCCTCAGTGTTTTCTAGATGTTTTATCAATTTTTTTTTTTTAACAGAGCTCTATCTACAAGAAACATTTAAGCCTTTAGTGAACATATCTCCAGATGCAAGGTAAGAGCAGTTCATTCATTTCTGTGTTAACATACATATCATTCTTTGCCTTACAATGGAAAGTCTGTGGAAGCATCGAGAACCCTCATTATGTTACCATGTTAGTGTGGGGCTATTTTGAGCCTTGTTAGTGGTATTAACTAGCGATTTTTATTTTTTTAATTACTCTTTGGCCTATATACTAGCATTATACGCTAAACAGTTTTTAAAGATAAAACTCTTTACATTCGATTATCATGAAAACAAATCTCAGAGAACGGTCGACTAGGTACCAATGTGTTATTAGACCAAAGGTTCATTTCGCGCCGGAGTTCTCCTTTAAATTATTCAGTGCACTTCGTCTTGGAAGAGCACAACTCTGAATTTCATCAGGGTTCTCTGAAGTTGCCCTTGTGTTCCTCAGGTCACTGCAGTGAAATTGACTTTCTCTGTCTCTATATTGTGTGTGTTTCAGCATATTTGATGCTGTGTATTCACTGATCAAAAACAAGATCCACCGGTTGCCCGTCATCGACCCTGTCAGTGGAAATGCACTTTACATTTTGACGCACAAAAGGATCCTGAAATTCCTTCAGCTGTTTGTAAGTTCATCAATAGATTTTAGCAAACATTTAGCAATGTTTCTGTTGCCTGTTGTTTTTTAGCTGGGGTTTGGGGTTTAACCGATGCTGTAACAAAGTGCACAGTCATTTCCTCTAGAGTGATTGAGGAAGGAACAGAATGAATGAAAATGTGCAGAGGAAGGGAGGGGTAAAACGGATGAAGAGGCAGAGAACCGTCCCTAGATTTGTGTAATCTATCTGATCACAATTCCTTGGCCTTATGTGTAAACTGCACTAGTTTATGCACTTAAAATAATGTTTGTTTTTTTGCCAAGCAGCCAATATAATTCCTTTTTATGTAACATGATGAATTGTGAAAGTTGTTTGTGTGTGTGTGTGTGTGTCTCAGGTCTGTGAGATGCCAAAGCCTGCCTTTATGAAGCAGACACTGGAGGAGCTGAGCATCGGGACCTACAGCAACATCGCCTTCATTCACCCCGACACGCCAATCATCAAAGCCCTCAGCATCTTTGTGGAGAGGAGAGTGTCAGCACTGCCTGTGGTGGATGAGTCGGGTATGATTCAAGAGAAAAAAAAAAACCCCCGACATATTTTGTATTCCCATAGAGTGCAACAGTGTCCACCCAGAGTAGTGTTACTTCCGGTAGTGTTTTTTCCATTCATTTCTCCCATAGAGACTTGTAAAAAGCCTTTGCCAAAGTATTATAAGCCATGAATCAAGTCAACCAGCTATTGCGCACGCAACCAGAAGGCAAACGACCCACAGTCTTCGTACTGGAGTAAAGGGTTTAGGCTAGTAGCATAGTGGTGGTGTTATAACTAGTCAAAATGCCCTTATAGACATGCACCCAGGCGTCATAAGACGTGGCTTTAATGCCTTGCCTTTGACTAGGGAGCACATCTGACCTCAACACGCAAAAATCCGGTGCAGAATCAAAGTATTTGACGAGCTGCACATGACCACATGGAAGTAGTTGTATGCATCAAGGGATTCGTACGCTCTAATCATTTCTCTTGTATACACACTTGGTGTCTGAATTAGATAATTATGTATATCAGGCCATATAATTACTGGCTACTTCTTGTCATCCACAATCCAAAGATCGTCAGGTATTACGTAGGGATCCGGCAAGTGAGTGAGTATTTTAATATAATCGCCACAGTCGGAGGTACTAAGGCTTCCCACATAATCCATCGTCAAATCTTTGATTTACACTTACAGTAAAGGAATGTTATATGTGTGCAGTCATGATGCAGATTGTAAAGTAATGTAAACAAGGTTAACTTATATAAAAGCAAATTCGAACTCTATAGAGGCTATTTCCACTTTTTTTGGAAATAGGCTCATTTTACAACTCCCCCAGAGTTAAACAGTTGGGTTTTACCGTTTTCGAATCCATTCAGACGATTTTCTGATATTTAGAAGAATATCAGTAACCAGACCGTTTCTGGTCTCATTGACTTCCATAGTAGGAAAAAAAATATGTACTATGGAAGTCAATGAGACCAGAAACTGTCTGGTTACTGATATTCTTCTAAATATCAGAAAATCGGCTGAATGGTTTCGAAAACGGTAAAACTCAACTGTTTAACTCTGGGGGAGTTGTAAAATGAGCCTATTTCCAAAAAAAGTGGAGTATCCCTTTAAGAGAGAGGTTTTTGTCCCTCCATTGAAAGTCTATTCACTTAAAACACTTATGCTTCAAAATGTTCAATCCATAGAAATCGAGCAGTTTAATCCAAGTCTTCCTAAAAGACATGATCGCTTTATGTGATGAACAGATTTAATTTAGGCTTTTATTTGCATATAAACATCGATCAGGCTATACTTAGTCTAACATGATAATTCATACATGCATCACACTCACAGTATTTCCGGATTTTGCAGGAAATTGCAATTTAGTATTGAGTCAACAAGAAATTACAAACAATGTGAAATCTATGTTAATTACAATGTTCTTTTACTGAACTCAGCATAACAGATAGCGTTTTTGCCTCCTGGATGCACGCGCAACCGGTATTGTTTGTATACAAAAAACCTGTGTATAAGGAGAATCATACTATTACAAACTTTGATTTGTAGCAACATTTCTTTGAAAAAAGACAGTTTACTTAATGTATTTAGTGAGGGAAAGATCTACAATCCCATGAAGCATTGCTAACAGCATTATCGAATTGAAAACGGAGGAATATAAACCTACTCCTACGACCTCGTAACTCACAGTAAGGCTGTCTTTAATGGTGAGGCTGTCTTAAAGGCTGTCTTTTTAATGTATTTAACTCTATACAGTCAGGAAATGTACTTATTTCAAACTTAATGACTTTTTTCTTTGTATTTTCCACTCTCAGGAAAAGTTGTAGATATTTATTCCAAATTTGATGTCATTGTAAGTATATTTATTTTATTGTTAATTAAGCAAAAATGATTGGCCTATACACCAGACACTCATTATCTTTGTGTGCGTTTGTAGAATCTTGCTGCTGAAAAGACGTACAACAACCTGGACATAAGCGTGACGCAGGCGCTGATGCACAGGTCACAATACTTTGAAGGCGTCATGAAATGCAACAGATTAGAGATACTGGAAACAATAGTAGATCGGATAGTCAAGGCTGAGGTGAGCTGAGTGTCTTCCTTTATCTGCAACATTGATAGTATGACCAAAAAAAAAATGTGCTCAGTTTGAGGTATTCTGTCTATGTATTCCTCCCTCTTGTTTCTTAGTATTTTAGAGCTACTCTAGGTAACTACAGAGGATATTTTCTCCTCTAGAAGCTGATGTCTCTCTGCTCTCCATCAGGTGCACAGGCTGGTGGTGGTGGATGAGAACGGGAGCATCGTGGGCATCGTCTCTCTGTCGGACATCCTCCAGGCGCTCGTTCTTAACCCCGCAGGTATAAATGCTCAGCATCCCTAAAGCTCATTTCCAGCAGGACCCTTCTCCTCTCAACCTCTATCGCCCAAACCACAGGTACTACATACACAGCTGCTGGGGTCACCGAGACGATGCATGACCACTGCCTGGCTCATGAAGTGTGCGCCGATGGCATGTGCTAACTTCCACTTTCTGTTTCCACCACAGAACCAAACATGCTTGGCTTTGATTCCAGAGGGCAGTTGACAAATGATGGCCTGTGTTTGTGTGTGTGTGTGTGTCCACATTTCACCGCATATGATTTTGATTAATGAATGACACTTGCAGCACATCAGAGCCACTGCAGAGCTGCCCATCTGCTGATGGAGAGTGTCCTGCAGTAGTTCAACTCAACCACTCACTCTGTCCTCTCAACACATGCACACAACACACATAATGTCGTAGGTTTTTTTTTTACAGAAGAATCAATATATAGTTCTGCGATAAAGTTTTTGCTGAATATTCAAAATGTTAAAGGGATAGTTCACCCAAAAAATAAACTTCTGTCATCATTTACTCACCCTCTTGTTGTTCCAAAACATTAGTCTTTCATTAATTATTGGAACAAAAATAAAGATTTTTTTTTTTTTAATGAGAGATTTTAAAGGGATACTCCACTTTTTTTTGAAAATAGGCTCATTTTACCACTCCCCCAGAGTTAAACAGTTGGGTTTTACCGTTTTCGAATCCATTCAGCCCATTTTCTGATATTTAGAAGAATATCAGTAACCAGACAGTTTCTGGTCTCATTGACTTCAATAGACCTTATTCAGAGCAGCGCCATGACGGGTATGAAAGTGAGGCTGTGAGGGATAGACTTACCGTGTTTCCAATGGCATCCGCTGTAAAAAGTTGAATAAAGCGGCTAGATTACTTACAATTTTCCACAGCTTACATTGTCGGGAGTTTTTTGTCAACTGACATTTCTTGGAAAGATATTTTTCCAGTGTTTCATGAGCAGAACAATCCGAAAACACATTAAATAACAGTACAGCCCATTGAAGAGATACAAGTCTATCCCTCACAGCCTCACTTTCATTCTCATTAAAAAAATAAAAGATGGCGCTGCCGTGAATAAGGCGTATAGTAGGAAAAAAATATATACTATGGATGTCAATAAGACCAGAAACTGTCTGGTTACTGATATTCTTCTAAATATTAGAAAATCGGCTGAATGGTTTCGAAAACGGTAAAACTCAAATCTTTAACTCGGGGGGAATTGTAAAATGAGCCTATTTCCAAAAAAAGGTGGAGTATCCTTTTAAGGAGAGGTTTCTGTCCCTCCATTGAAAGTCTATTCACTTAAAACACTTATGCTTCAAAATGTTCAATCCATAAAAATCGGGCAGTTTAATCCAAGTCTTCCTAAAAGACATGATCGCTTTATGTGATGAACGGATTTAATTTAGGCTTTTATTTGCATATAAACATTGATCAGCTAATGTACAGTACATAGAGCACTCAAATATTGTAAATGGAAGTTCAACTGTACTTGCTTGACATGTTAAAAAAACACATTGGTTCATGAAGAAGCTCAAATGTGATTGGTGTTGCGCAAGAATGAACCTCATTGGTTCTCGCGTGTCAAGCTAGAATGCTTGAGCGTCCGTTTACTACATTCGAGTGCTGTATACGTACTCTGATCAGTGTTTAAATGTAACAATTTTATATTCTGCAAGGGGTGTGTAAATTTATGACAAAGAATACAGATGAGCAGAACTGTATAACCGATGGAATATTGCACATCTTGATGTGATAGACATCTAAATCCAAATCAGATGGTGGGATATAATACACTTCTCTCTATTTTGCCAGAAAACTTTCTGAATTTGCTCCTGAGAGGTCGCTGTGTGCTGGGCGCCTGTCTTGTTGTCTGTGAAGTGTGAATTTATAACACTGAATATTAATTGCTGCTGTGAAGAGTGTTATGAATCCTAAGGAGCAGATGTGATGCCGCTAATATTGCAAATAGTATGCATGGATCAAAAGATATTCTGCCCTGGTGTACAGTCCTGCTCCTGGAGATGGACCTTCCTGCAGAGCAGGGTCAGAAATGAATGGAACCTTGAGGCAAAAATGACACCAAAATGAACAATGCCCCTCAAATTCAAGAGAAGGGGCGAAAATGCCCCATTACAATTAAACTAAATGTATTACGACTGTACTAATAGACATACAGCACTCAAATTTGGTAAACAGAAGCTCATGGTTCATTCTCGTGTCACCCCAGCATGTTTGAGCTTTCGCAGGAACTAACGAGGTTTGTTCTCGAATGTGAAGTACGGATGAGCTTCAGTTGACTATATTTGAGTCCATTTTGTGAACAGAAGCCTAGATTAAGTTAGTTAACCATATAAAGTCTCTTTAGAAGGCTTGGATTAAACTGCACGATTCATATGGATTTCTTGTTTTCGGTCAATAGTCTTAAGTCGAAGGATAGAAAACCCATCTAAAATATCAGATCATGAGAGAGTAATTAATGACAGAATTTTCATTTTTGGGTGAACTAGCCCTTTAATGGAAACGTTCTGACCCTGCTGCAGAGTCAAGGAGGGCTGATCTCAGAGCAGCTCTGGTTGAAAATGCATGTTCATGAGCTGCCAACTAGTGGTTATAAGCAGTACTGCAACTAAAAAGAGACCTCTCGTTAACATGTTGTCTGCTCTTTTACCTTTGCAGGCATGGTCAGGAAGGACAGCGAAGCAGAGACGGACTGATGTGTGCTGAGATTGCTGGGCAGTGTGACGTTGCCGGCAGAGACTGGAGACAAGAAGTTTAAGCCACATCTCTGAATTAAAGAGAGAAACCAAGAAACTTGACCTAGATGTGTGCTGTTAGAAGGCAAAAGAAGGGGTTTAAGGGTACAGAGACTGGTTAAATGGTCTATCATTAAATATATGGATGAAGGTAGTGGCCGCATGAGGCGATTAAGGTGGATCATCTCTTATTCAGAAGGATACTGTGAACTCTGCCTATTATATCACACTAAGCTTCTGCACGCACACTATGATAACTATACTTTTAGCTAGACCTAAAACTACGCCATCTGGTTTCTGAACAGTGGTCTGCGCACAGACTATGGACTGTACCATTACCACCTCTTTTGGGAGGGGGGTGTCTGTGCGTTTGCAGGGCATTCAGTAATAATCTCAGTATTCAATGCATGTTAGGACTGTTTGCTCCCTGTGTACAGTATATACGATTTTCAGCTTGTGCCGTATAAGCCCAGCTCGCATATTTCTACTTTTGACTACACCTCCTGAATTTAGGAACTGTTGTTTATTTCGTTTAGTCTCCAGCTCAATCCATTTGTACAGTAAATGCAGACAGAAATGGTTTCCTCTCTATCTGTCTATGGTGCCTTCTGTCCAGCAGTTATCGCCCACTACTGGTTGCCAACAGAACAAGAGTAATTGAATGTTTAAACTTATCAAAGCGAATGTCAGAGTTGTTACAAAAACCAAAAGCCCCTTTTTGTCGTTTTAGTGTGTCACCAAATGTATTTACTGAAGAGCTCTACATTTCCTCACTTTGGGTGTTCGTTTTGTTCTTGATGTTTTTGAAATGATGCTGTAAATGATAATTCAAATGTTTATTTATTTATATTTAACACTTTTGTATTTTTGAAAGTGATATCTAAGTGTGAGATGGAAAGAACTATTAAGCCCCTATGCAGTAAAACTTGATGTTGAAAAGTGATTCAACCTTAAAACCCCACTGTCCAAGAGGCGACTGATTCTTGTTTGTATCAATTGTACTGTACCGAGCTTCTGTCTGAAGAGTCTACAAGTGCCAGAGAAAGGTATATTTTTCTGTGTATTCAGTGTTGTTTGTAATACTTCACATTATCATTTTAAGTTCTCCTTATTTGTTTTGCAGATGTTAGTGCTGTTGTCATGATGTCCAGAGATTAATGCACATCACTAGCATGAGAATGCTAGTGAATAATCATGCTTTAGATTCATTTTTATTTTACAATTAAATAATAAAAACGAAAAACAATGTCTTTGAAGCTTTTCTTGTATTAAGATGATTCATAAAAATTAGTAAAAATAAAAAATAAGAGGGAGATGCTGCTGTAGCCTGTGTGTGTTGGTGTTTAGTAGCCTACTGAGAAAAAATGTAAGCATTTGTTTAAGAATTTGCCTATTAATTTTTATAGGTTTTCCCATTTATCTGTTCAATCATATCTTTCATAATGAACCTGACATATTTTGCCGACTTAATGTAAGTAACGTAACGTTAGGCTAAATGTTTGTGAGATTGTCACAGTACTACTTTCTTATATAAATAAAATGTTAATAAAATATTATAGATGGAATAATTAAAAGTTAAAATTTGATTTTTTGTTTTATTTTATTTATTTATTTATTTTTACCTGAAAAGCAGCAGTCGCGGATGATATGTGAAATATTTCGGGTTTTAGGCGCGACCAGGGCGCGACTAGCAGGTCATGTGACCTGCCAGGCCTACAACTGGCATATTTCACCATCATCCGCGACTGCTGCTTTTCAGGTAAAAAAAAATCCAATTTTAACTTAATTATTCATTAACTTTTCAGTACCTACTACAGCAAGTAGGCCTATTTATAAGGAAATAGGCCTACTTGCTGTAGTAGGTATACTGAAAAGTTAAGTTGCCAACGTAACATTTGGATGTCGTTTCAATATTTAAACCCCCCCCCCCCCCCCCCCCCCAAAAAAAAACAGTAAAATTGATTTTTTTTTTTTAGTAGTTTATTCCCCATTCATCCCATAAGGCTTAAGCAATCAACAAAGCAATATAAGATCATGACAATGCTTGACTTTGTGGTGGACAATGGATCTTCACTTCTTCCAGGATAGCATCGAGGGGTCCTCTTCTCCAATATTGAGCTTTTTTTTTTTTTCTTCCAGATAATTTTTTATCATTTCGAAAATTTGTCTTATAATTGACGTTTCCAAGATACTGTAAATCACTATAGGCTAGGGCTATGCTCTTTCCCTGCTAGTAACGCAACATGCAGAAGTATGCCTCTGCGAGCGTGTTCCTGACTCGCGCTCATTGGTTCATTTGTCTGATAGCACCTGACTCGCAATCCACCCGTTTCTAACTGATCCATGAAACCATAAAGACAGAGCACGTAGGCAACTTCTTGTCGACAAGCTCAGACCTTCTTTTCTCAAGGTAAATTCATATGCATTTAGTTTTTAGCACTAAATAGAGTAGCCTAAATATACTGATGCTGCTTTGTTCTAGATATGCATGTGAGATTAACTACACAATTAGCATTAAATAATAGGCTAAAACATGCAAATTATTTCCTTAACTCGAACTAAGCAATGTTTACATATACAGCCTATTTTATTAAAAATAATAGGCTACTGCTAAATGATATTCCCGTCTATTTACAAAGTTTTGCACTTGAAATATCCTGTTGTGTGTGGACGAATAGGCTACTTAATTTCATCGTATTTAATATATAAATACCTATCAGAATATTTGCATTAGCAACAGAACACTACAACAATATCTGTCGTTTGCAGACATTGAAAGAATGCGCGCGTGATGATTTTATATTTAGATTTGTATTGTTTCACTTTGCTCGATTTTGATGTCACGCCCCCCGTGAAGTAATTTTAGCGGCCGCAGAATATTCCGCACTACGTGACAGATATCACATAGTCCAAATCGAGCTGGAGCTTATATTTAAAACAAGCATATGTGCCAAATGCATTTATGAAATGTGATCATTTACAATCATAAGCATTTCGCTGCCCATTTAGTCCCCGTGCCGGACACCAATGTCATGAGCAACGGCATTTCACATTCACATTTGCATTTATTAACCTTGCAGACGCGCTCTTGCAAAAGCTCCATTCAAGATCATTTGCTATGTCTCCAGTGAGACTGGTGAAGGTTGAACAGTCCATCATACGTATGTGGTCATTTTTGTGGTCACTCGCTTTAGGCATCCTACTCCAATACATTCTGTGAACAGATTCCCACTGTCATGGAAAATCTTGAAAAATGTCACTTTTAAAAGTAAGATTTTGGCACGTTATGGAAATAAATACAATCTAAAATCTTAATAAGTCAAGGACTAAAAAAAAGCAGAAAGTCAGCTCATACAGTTTTGAGACTTGTCAACCCTGTGTGACTTTGCTGAAAGCTTTATGAGTTGTCCATGAGTCCGGCCAATTCATAGCCATTGTTATTAGATGCTGGCTTCTCGTGCACTGGTGCGGGGACTGCAGTCTGGACTCTGGAGGAGGGTGTCAACTTCATCTGGAGCCTGGGCTGCACATACTCACGGTGATCTATCTATCCATCCATCCACCCACCCATCCATCCACCCATCCACCGTTCTTTGACTGTTCTTGTTCATGTGTGTTTGTCCTCAGATGTTGATGTGCTCGATTGCTCCGCTCCTCAGTACAACAACCGCCTGGACACTCCGTTGCCAGATGTTCCATTTGTCAGAAATCTGAGTGCTGAACAGAAGAAACTCAAAGAAAAAGAGAAGGGACCGTGGACCCAGCTCACCAAGGAGGAGAAAATAGCCAGTAAATCTGCAAGGGCTAAGGCTAACTTTTAATATGCTTTTTTTTTTTTTAATCTAGCAACAACCTTAACAAGTTGAGGCTAGACTTTGAACTTGGGTGTGGAGGAAACTGTTACTCACCTGAAAGAACACATTTGTCCCTACAGTAGCTGTATAAACATGCTCAGCATTTGTATGTTTGTAAGCAGGTACTGTAAGGAAAATAGGATATACAGAACCATTCAAATGTTTGGGGTCAATATGTTTTGTTTTTTAAAGAAATAATAAAAAAAATCCCATAAAGACACATTAAATCATTAAAAAACGTATTTCACATAGTTATAAAAAACTTTTTTAAATTAGAAAATTAATCCAAGAATGGCATTTTTCACCAAAAAATTAAGCACCACAACTGTTTTCAACAATAGAGACTAAATACGTATACTTATATTCATACTTTATTATTTTTATAAAATACGAATGGTATTTTAGACATGAAACCAGCATATGATTTCTGAAAGATCATGTGACACTGAAGACGTAATGATGCTGAAAATCCGGGAGCCATTCCATCACTGGATTAGCTAAATTACATTTTAAAATTTATCACAATATTACTGCATATTTTTAATCAACTAAATTCAGCCTTGGTGAGCATAAAAGACTTCTTGCAAAAACATCTTAATTTTGGACAATATTTAATAAAATAAATGTGACACTTGATTAACATTATCATATTATATTATCTTTTTTAAAAGTATTATATCCTATTTTATTATATATTATATTCTCTTATATTACTGTTTGTACAAACACACACACACACACACACACGCTCACAGCTACCAATAGAGCTGATTCAGATCCTTTAGGTGTTAATGGGTTTGAATGCTGATCGAACACTTGGCAGAAACTGATCAATTTTCTTGAGTAGGTATTACTTGCGTTACTTGAGTTTAATGTTACGAGGATTCAGAAGGAATTTCAGATGGAGCAACAAGCCACCCCATATCAGCCTGTCTGGCATACATATAGTGATTATTTTAAAAATATTCTTAACATTTTTTTATATTAGATTTTTGTACATTTTGTATATTTAATTATTTTCATATATTTCATATTTATTAGTTTTATATCCCTTTGTGATGTATAATAGATCATTTTTACCTGGGTAAGATCCCTCAAAGCTAAATTATTAATATAGTAAATGGGTCATGGGTCTTGGGAATTACAATGCTAATGCTGGATATGCTAATGGCAGTCATTCAACCTCAGGTATATAAAGTTCTTGGCCACCAGATGGCAGCGTTGTCCAGCTGTTTGAGTTGAATAGTGGCAAACCTTGCCCTCCAAGGGCAAACTACTAAATACAACTATTAAGATTCAGTCTGTGTTTGTCTCTTTCTTTGCAGTTTACAGGCTCACGCATGAGCTGTCGTTTTCAGAGATGAAGAAAGGCTCCAAAGAGTGGATGACTGTCGTCGGGGGCATCTTCTTCTTCATTGGCTTCACAGGGCTGCTGGTCTGGTGGCAGCGTGTTTATGGTGGGTTTACATATTTATGAAGCTTAAAGTCACCATGAAATCAAAATTGACAAATCTTTTTTTTTTTTATTGGAATATTGCCTATTTATCCATGCATTTCTTTAAATAATACATTTTTATTGTCATAATCTTTAATCAAAATAACTTTCCTTCCCTCTTGCAACAACATCTATTCTCTGATGAAGTGTTTACAACCTGTTTATCACATGAGGTCACAGCATTAGCAAACGACAAAACGAACCAACAACCAATAAATTCCCGATGGAAAAAAATCAAGTCCCGCCCTACATTTTTTCTTGTTTGAAAAGCTGTTTCACTCAGACTATCGCAACTTCCGTTTTATCCGGACTTTCATGGTTTTTGATTGCCAGAATATGGCGCGAAAGCCTTAAATGCTTGAATTTCAGGCATTTCATCATAACTGATACACTTTGATGTGAGATCCGGGTGGATTTAATTGTGTTGATGATTTATTTATTCATCCAATCAGAGTCAGAGATGGTCATTGAATCCAAAATCAACATATTGGCTTCTGCTAAATTAAGCCTCAAAACCTCGCTTAGCATTCCCCGTCAGTGATTTCCACTTGGATTTTGTTCTTTTCGCCTTTTGATTTGTATCCCTTTCCTCTAATGTGACCATTATATAGATCAGACGTGTCAGATGGAGGCCTTTTTACCTGCAGCACACACTCCCACTGCATTCCCTCGGCTGAAATAATTGGACTTGGGTGTGTTTTGCAGTCAGCAGTTTAAAGGAGCAGAAACGAGGGGAAAGATTTACGTGTTTGAGCCTCGGCTTCAGTTCAGGAATCCCTTTAGACCCAGCTGAACTTCTTCACAAATGATAGGAAGAATTCTAAGGCTGTGTGTCTAAGACAGATGGAGAGCAGTTGACATGTTTAAAACAGAATGAGTGTGCATGGTGTGTGCGTGTGTGTTTGTATAAATGTGTGAGTGAGATCTTGTCGGAAGCAGACGAGTCTCCTCAATCTCGGTCTCAGAAGCCCCAGTTCTTTGAGGAAGGAAGTCAATACATCACCTCAGGAGAGACACAGTAGAGGAAAATAATGCAAGGAGGGAAGGAAACAAAGAAAATGTGAGAACAAAAGTTTGGTGAGGATCCTTGGGGGGGTAGTCAAAGTGAGAAAGGTATACAGAAGTCCAAAAGTCGGTTGAGCGATGGGTATTTCCCACATTGTCTGGCTCATGTTGTGACTTGAACAACTCTGCTCTCGGGCGCTGTTCTTCGAACTCATTAAGACTCGTCTGAGGTTGACTTCGGCATTTGTCGGAGTTTATCGAGGAGATTAATCAGGCCTTTTTTTTTTTTGGAGAGCCACCTGAGATGCAGTCGAGCCGCAGGTTCTTGCAGGCATCTCTGCCCCGCGACTGCCCAAAAACTGAAAAGAATTTCCTTCACATACTTCAGGGCAGGTGTACAGACTCCACCTGGCTAAAAAAATAAACTGTTTTCCATAATCTTTTTGATGTGTTCATGAGGTAGAAACTATTTCTGCCTTGAGGGGAGACGCCCTTTGAAGAATTACGTATTGCAAACCAAATTCTACTTTTAGTTAGTAAAAAACTTTTGCTGATAATTTACTCACCCCCATGTCATCCAAGATGTCCACGTCTTTCTTTCTTCAGTCGAAAAGAAATAAAGGTTTTTGATAAAAATATTCCAGGATTTTCTCCATATAATGGACTTCATTGGGAACCAAACGGTTCAAGGTCCAAATGAGAGTTTCAGTGCAGCTTCATGATAAATAAGGGTCTTATCTAGGACCCTTCGAGTCATGACTCAAAAAAGATTTGTTCATTTGGATGAACGAGTTCGAAAAGGAGAGTCACGAACGCACATCACAGAACAAACAGGGGAGTATTTGTGCTTATAAAACTTAAACTTTTTTATTTATTTTTTAAATGGCCGATCGTTTCGCTAGATAAGACTCTTATTCATCGTCTGGTGTCGTTTAAAGCCCTTTGAAGCTGCACTGAAACTCTCATTTGGACCTTGAACCGTTTGGTTCCCATTGAAGTCCATTATATGGAGAAAAATCCTGGAATGTTTTCATCAAAAACCTTAATATCTTTTCGACTGAAGAAAGAAAGACATGGACATCTTGGATGACATGGGGGTGAGTAAATTATCAACAAAAGATTTTTTAAAAGTGAACTAATCCTTTAAGAGTCTACATATACTGGGATTCAACATTTGAACCTGGAGACAAACAAAGTTTTACCATTTTGAAAAATGTACAACAAAGCATTATTATTATAGCAATGTAAGAATTGGCCTATACAACCCCTGTTGAAATGGATGATTTTTGTGATGTAATAATGAAAAAAAGATAAATCACAACAGAATGTTTAATGTAAAAATTACAATGAAGACCAAAGTGACATTTCAGAGAAAATTATAAAATATAAAAAATCAATATCTGAAAATAGAAATATGTTTTTAATTCAAATTTATTTTGTTATGCTGTTAGTTAAAAAACAAAAACAATAGATGCATTTATTTTTAACTCTACTGTACCAATTTTCAATGCATCATTCTTACAATTTGGTTATGAAATAATATAGGCTCCACCACTGCAACCTTTTTTTGACCGAGTGTATTTGCATATTTATTTGCTCCATTTTTACATGAAGCAGGTTTGTGATATTAGCAGACGTGTTTGTGCATGGTGTGCAGACACAATTGTTTTCTCTAATTTGTTTATTTTTTTGTTGCCTGTTCTTCGCCTGGAGGATAAAACCCCAGCAGAAGAGTTTGAGCTGGCAGGTGCTGCCCTCTGTTAGGACACTTAATTGCTGACTATCTGGTTTTTTTTATTCTGCTGACAGGTCTACAGTTCCACTGAGGGGATTTTGCACAATAACTGACTTCCACAGCAACATCTTTCCTGCTTTTTTAATTTCATGATTTACCAGAGTTTTATCTTAAAGGGATAGTTCACTTTGAAATTAATTTTTGATATGTTTTAGCTCACCTCAAGGGCATCCAAGATGTAGCTGTCTTTGTTTCCACAGTATTTTCAATTTTGATATTTTTAGGTCAAACCGTTCTTGTCTGTCAGTCAAATAATGGAGGTCTATGGTCACCACTACCAGTTGAAGGTAGCCATTGACTTCCATAGTAGGAAAAAAATCAAGTCAATGGCTACCGTCAACTGTCTGGTTACCAGCATTCTTCAAAATATCTTCTTGTGTTCAACAGAACAAAGAAATTTTATACTCACAGATTTGGGGTGATCAAATTTATTTTTGGATGAACAATGTATTTAATCAAGCATTTCTCTAAATTCTTTCTTCATGTCACCAATTATGTTTTTGTCTGTTTGGCAGTGTATGGTGACGTTCCGCACACTTTCTCTCAAGAGTGGGTCGACAAGCAGACGCAGAGGATGATAGATATGAGAGTGAACCCCATCCAGGGATTCTCTAATAAGTGGGACTATGAAAAGAAACAATGGAAATAAATGCATTCTGATGTAATAATAACTGAGAATGTATCAGGTTTGCATTAACGAGACGTTTCAAACTCAATAATGCTGTGTAACCGGCAGCCTTAAAATATATTCCTGTGTGAATCCAAATAAATGCACTGAATTAAACTCAGAGCTGCTTCAGTGTTCTGGCTTTGTACTGTTTGTACTGAGAACAAAGCATGTGTGTTGGTACATTTAACCTGATACCTGACTACGGTAGAATTGAATATGCCTTAACATGATTGGCTGGGGCAGGTGGAGTGAGAGAGTGTGTTATTGGCTGAGTTAATCCAATCACTTTTCAAGTGCCTAAAATGACTTGTATGACAAGCTCATTATGAAAGTACATATTAAATGTATTGTTCCACAGTGCTTAAAATAGTTTTAGATGAAGTCACACTGCTGTCACTGCTTGACATGTCATCTATCTATCTATCTATCTATCTATCTATCTATCTATCTATCTATCTATCTATCTATCTATCTATCTATCTATCTATCTATCTATCTATCTATCTATCTATCTATCTATCTATCTATCTATCTGAACAAAAACAAACAAAAATACGGAGTTCCCCAGAAAAAAAAACGTGTCAGCCTACAATGCTTCAAGTTTCCCTATTGGAAATGTTTTTTGTCAAAATGTGAGAAGTTTGTAAAGATATGCCTGAAGTATGAAGTCCTGAGGGATTAATGAAAAAAAAAAGCTTTGGCAAAGCTGAAAGGAATGAAAACAACTGCACTTCAAACACAAAACCCAGACACCATAAATACCCTGCATACATCTGGAGAGGCATAGTACTACGGCAAAAGAAATGAATGGTGTGACGTAGGAAGTGCCGCCCCCGAAGAGCGACTATCTTCAAACAGAATTCAGTACTTTCAACAACAGTCCCAGCGTTGCTTCAATGAACGCGCCTGTCTCGATGTCATTCGTTGGCGGTTACAGAGCACGCTTAATTTCTGCACGTTCCGTGCCGCGCGTTGGAAAAACTGAATCTTCCCAAAAAGCGTGGAAATATACTTGTACATTTTACATACAGCAAAAGTGCTCCTTCGTGCGCTGACTTGGTTGCTATTTTCTCTTCCGTCTTTTCTAGGACCTCGAATGTCAGTGGAATAATTAGAAACACAGCGCTAGCTTTAACTCTATTCTTCGGTCTCGTAACGTCAACGACGTCGCAGGGTATTTTTCTCGCTATTGGCTGGTGGTTCACTGGAATATAAGCGCTGCTGTGAGTCTGAGCTGTGAAGGGGCATTCCTCGCGCCGCGCTTGGATCTGGACCGCGCGCGCGCTGCAGCAACGGCCACTCTGTCCATCATCGGCGCGCGCTGGACATGCAGGTTTGCAGATAGTTATGGCTACCAAGTTATATGAATGAATGTGTTACTCAGTTATGCTATTATCCTCAAAAAATCCATTCCAATGAGAGAAATCACGTCAGCGTGATGTGAATTTGAATTTTTTTTCTGAGCCCTTCTCTGTGGGAGACTTTTTTTCCGTTACCATGTACTTCGAATAAACCGAATCAGTTTACCCGCTCGCGCTCGTTTTTATCCTGTTTAATAACGATGGCTAACGAATTTCGCTATGACAATCGGAATATTGTGGAGAAATATCTTAATCACAAACTTTTAAAGAGGGGATATGTATGGAAACTTCCATCTTCTGAGGAAGAAGATGACACCTTCAATAGAGGAGAGGACTCCTCTCCAAACTCTGACAGGAGGAGGCTTCAGGCTCCCTCGGTCGGCGGGGGTAACAACTCTGAATGCCTGATAGCCCACCGTCTCACCCTTTCAGACCCTCATTTGATGCTCTACCGGGTGTTACGCGAGGCTGGAGACGAGATGGAAAGGATCTACCAGCGTGAATTTGAGGAGATGTCCCACCAGATGATATTGAGTCCCAATGTAGCGCAACGCTGCTTCTTAACCGTGGCTGAAGAGCTCTTTAGAGACGAAGTGAACTGGGGGCGGATCGTGGCTTTCTTCGAGTTTGGTGGGACCATGTGCGTGGAGAGCGTCAACCGGGAGATGGCGTCCCAGGTAGATAGTATTGCACACTGGATGACAGACTACCTGAACGGGCCACTGGAAAACTGGATCGAGGAAAATGGAGGTTGGGTAAGTTTATGGTCAAATGATCGTGACCTTTGCCCAGTCATTCATTGCTTCATCTCTGCAGGTGAAGCGTAACATCAAAACAACACAGTCTTAAACCGAATACCCACGCAGTGTTGTTGTGTACCTTCACCTTTTACCAATCAAATGATTACTTTCTTAGGTTTGAATCTACTAAGCAGATTGTTACAAACCCCATGAGAGAAAAATTCAAGTTTTTGTTATTTTTTGCTGTGTGGCTTCTTTATCCGAGTGCACTCCTAAACACTGACACAATTGGGAAATATACTGGGAAAGGGACCAAAATATTGATGATTTACCATGTACTACAAGTTTGTGTCCAATCAAATTCTCTCTAGTAAGAGAAAGTCCTTCCTCCATATCACCCAGCATTCAGCAATTCATGTTTAGGGCTGTGATCTTGCTAAAGGCTATTGGATATTTAAAATATGTTTTGTCCAAACTTCCTGTTTCAGTAGAAAGTATGTTGTCACTAGGAAAATAACTACACAACCGTAAAGTCATTTCATGGGGTCTTTATGGCGTACAAGTAGACTTTTACAGTTTCAGGCTCTAGTCTAAGGCAATGAAGTGAGTTGAATTCATTGTGTCTGTAGTGCTAATAGAATGGTTGAGTGGGTTAGTTGTTTGAGTGGTACTGGTCTGGTTTGAGGTGAGTCAGCTTGGTTTTTGACAGTTCAATCAAGGTGAAAGTGACACTTTAATCATTGTAAGCCACTCCCCTCTTATGTCCTGTAAAAATAGAGTTGATTAGGCATCTTTTTTCTCAAAGACATGTGACTTTGTTGCATACTAGGTCATATGAATTCTTAATGATTCCTTGGTTGTAGGTAGGAAAAAATAGTTTATGATCAAATGAAACACTGTAAGGTAGAAAGATGATTTTTTTAAGAGGTAAAGAAAGTTGTTTATGCATGAGGTGAAGCCTCAGAGAGTTCATGCTGTGATTTACCAGTGGGACAGTTTAAAGAACATGCTATTTTCTGAAGACACCTATAGGTAGGGTTGTGGCAGCTGCTCGACAGCCTAATCCTGAGACTTATTAAATTAATCATGTATTTATGATAACAATTAAATTGTATTATAATTATAATTATCATAATACATAATATTTTTTTACTATCAAAAATATATCATAATAATATTTAATACAATTTCTTGTTGGGGACTTTGAATCAATAATTTGTTTATATGTAAATTCACAAGTCATTCAAGTGTAATGGTGCAACACACACTGTAGTGCATGTTTCTTTTATGCTACCTCTATATACTAAATTGTTACTTACACATGGCTGGCGCAACTGGCCCCTGGTGGCTTGTCTCTGAAAAGAAAGGAAATCTGGCACGTGTAAAAACCGAGTAGTCTATGAACGTCCAACTCCCTAGTCAAAACAAGTAAACATTTTTATTTCTTCTTTTTTCTTGCTTTAACACTATCCTTCACTCTGACTGCAGTGCTTCTGTGCTGAATTATTTACGGTTTAAATTTGTGCAGCCCATCATGGTTGTGTTGATCCTTTATGGTAGGACTGACTCCACCCTATTCATCTGAGAACCTGCAGTCTCAGATGAGGGCTGTAGACAGGACTGTCCTCCAAATCATGAACTGAACTACATTATGTGTGTTTAATGTTAGATAAAAATGGTTAAATGGTGTTAAATTGCAGTTTGGGAATCTTTTCTCCTTTCCTTCAAATAATCAACCATTTGAGCATGTTTCACTCTCACTGTGATCACTTTGCGGTTTGACGATATTGTGCTCGATATTCCGCATTATAAAACGGTTAGTTCCAATCCTTGATTCTGATTGGTCAATAGCTGTGCTTTATTCATGATAAAACACGGCTTGACCGCTTCACCCAACGGTTCTTTTTCTCGCTGCGCAACACTGCAGTTCTTGTGTTGTTTTTATTTGAGCTTTCATGCATGTTACAAATTGGAACGTTGCTGCTGTTCACGGTCAGGGACTATTTTTTTCTAGCGGAAAGACGGCTTTTAGTGATTTTACTTCATGAAAGTTGCACTAATACATATTTTTTTTACTTTAATATTTTGATTGTGTGGTAACTGTTTTACAAAAGCAATAAGGTACTCCAGGCAAGTGCTGTATCGTCAATAAGTAACAGCTAAAGGGCGTTATTAGGCATGAAGCGGAGATGCAGCTCAGCCTCTCGTACCTTATTGCTTACTGAAAATGTATGCACGTGCAAAGCTCAGGTGCTCACAGCCCACTCATGTACCGCTCATGCTCATCGGAAAAGCAAAGTACTCTCAAATAATGGGCCGAAGTTTCTATGTAGTAGTATACTTGTTTCTGTTTGCAATAGCCCTATATTGTGCTGCAACATGATGTGATATAACCGTGCTGGGCAACACTGGTAAAACGGCGATAACCTCTCGTCCACTGATCCGCTCCCCGCTCCGCTCTGCTTAAATGTTCTGATATAACTTTGAAAGACTAGGCTATACATTATTTGGATATTTGGTGAAAAATAAATTAGTTAAATTTGATTCTGCTGCATAGAACTGAATACAGTAATCATAATTTATTATATTTTCTGTTCAAATTTAGTGTTGTTTTCAATAGAAGTGTGGTTCTTTAGGCTATTGCTTGTATTTTTATTATTTAGAATCATTACAATGATTGAATTTCATTAAAACGTCTATTATTAATACAATTAATGCAAAAAACAAAACAAAACAAAAGCGAATTTAAAATTAGAAATAAACTATTTTTAAAAAGCATTTTCAGTTTCGGTTTTCGGGCCAAGTGTGTCTACAAATCTCGGTTTCGTTTTCGGCCCAGAATTGTAATTTCGGTGCATTCCTACAGTCTTCTTCTGACTGCAGACTGGAGGACAGCAAAGATTCTCCACTGTCTGGTACAGCTGTGCAGGTGGCCCAGCGGAGCCAGAGCCATTATTCCTGTCTGGATGAAAGGTGTGCTGGGACTGAATTAATGATGGTCATTACTCACCACATCTGCTGCAGGTTAGACTGACTCAAATGGCCTGTGATAAAGGGAAGAATGAGGAGAGCTTTTCAGAGAGACCACCGTACACAAACACTCTTCAAAACACAAAGCTGCTTTCCCATTATTTTATTCTCTGTCGGTTATTTTAAAGGTCAGTTGTAATGAATAGATGTTGAACTATTTTATTATCTATATATTGATGACTTTATAAACTCTGTCATTCCTTTAGTGAAGAGATGTGGTGCAATTAGGATACAATTAGCAGAGAAGCATTTTAATAAGCCTTTACATGTTCCTGCATTATTCACAAAGCTCAGCACTTTTGTCCAGAGGCAATGAATGATTTATTTATTTCATTTTGTCATGAAAAGCACATCTAGAGTTTGCATTAAGACTGTTATTGCTGAGAGATTTGGCTCACTCATGAGAGTTATATATTACACTGAGTCTGTCATTAACAGCATCTTTAAACGTAGGAAATGTTTTGAAGTGCTGAGAGCATTTGACGTTGATATATACTCGCACAGGGGATGCTTCCCGCTTGATTTCCTCTGTAGTTAGTTATTTTAGGGGAATCTTTATTAAGTTCTGATAATGTCCCAATAGCTTACCATCAGAGCGCTGGTGCTATTTAGGCCTGTTCATTTGCTTATGCCTCATATGAAGAATGCATTTAAAAACTTGCTGTTTGGAGATTTATAAGGACTTTCATCTCAAGAACAGAAGCATCAATGGGAACGCAGCCAGTCAAAACACTACTATAAGCTTTACTTTAATGTAGTTATGATCTGTTACTCTGTATAAAGTTCAAGTGACTAAGGTAATGGAAGAAGAACAGTTCTGCCTTTGCTGAGCGTATCACAAGAACGTTAAGTGTTGTGTGATATTCATTCCCCCCATTAGAGGGTCCTCAATGTGTCAGAAGGGCTTCCCATTTGCCCTAAATTGGTCAGATGGCTTCTCTTCTCTGGCTGAAAAAAATGTTCTCTCCACCCATGGTTAATCCCAATTTATTATCCTCCTTTTGAATTAATGTGATTCATTAATCCTTGGATAAAGCCTGTCTGTGAAGAATATATGATTCAGCTGTACCACAGCGCTCTGTCTTGTTACTATTTTTCCAGGCCCCGTTTACCCAGCTTGCCTTGGAGACCATTGTCTTACTTCAGCCACTATCACAGGTTGAAATGGACTCAACAGACTTTTAAATGCATGTTCTGTTCATGTGGATGGTGTTTTGTTAATGAGACAATTATACTAGACATAATTAAATTGGTTCTGTTAGCCATTTTAATGCAGTTCTTCTTAATGATGGAAGTAAAACTTGCCTCAATGGATGTAAAATAATAATTGTTTCCGCTATTTTAGAAACGGCTTCCATGAGTCTGGAAACTGATGCTGCTTGGAAAGTTTTCCATCCATTTTGGCCTTTCTCGTGACCCTTTAAATAAAAATTGCCTGTAGAAGTGTTTTATAGGTGACTGCAAAAAATAGACTCTGAACACCTTTTTTCCAGAAAACAACATCCTATGTTACTCAGGTTTCCTTTTGTAAGCACATTTAACATTGGAGGCGTATTCAAAGTGAACATGTCTGTTAGCTTTTATGTCAAAACCTGAGAAACAATAGTTCGTTTCTTTCCTTTTTTTTTTTTTCAGTTGAGAAAATCAGATGTCTTTCAATAATTTGTTGTAAATTTATACTAGAATGATACTGCTTCACAAGGGGAAAACACTCTGTTATGTCATTTTTTATTAAAGCATGTTAGATCTCATGCATTAAAATAACTTTTTAAAATGGTTTAATTGCCTTTTTAATGTGTTTAACAAAAGCTGTAGGAGTAGAGTAGGTCTGTTGCCTCCCAATATTTGACAGCACTGCACATGGCAAAAATAGAGCAGATGCTCAGACATTTAGGACTTCTGGTTTGCAAAATGCTTAATGAGCTTTCTCATTACTGTGTAAACGCTTTGAGCTAGCTCATTTACCATGCTCTTTTTTTTCCACC